ACTCAAACACGTACGCCAAGCTCTTAAGGCTAATGGTTACTCCGACTACACAATCCGCAAGGCCATCACTCCAACCGTCAAGAAGGATCCTGCTGAGGAGCCTTTCAAAACCATCACCTTACCCTACATTGCTGGGGTCACAAAAAAAGATCTCCAAAATCCTGATTAAACACAAGATTCAGGTACGATTCAACACAGTACATAAAATCCGTGATCTAGTCCCGTCTGTAAAAGACGTGATTCCAGACATACAGTACCCTGGCGTCTACAAACTAAGTTTCCTCTGTGGTAGCAGTTACATTGGAGAAACCAAACGACATGTCTCGGATCGCATCCGTGAACATAAGGCAGACCTGAAACACGGTAGGACAAACACCTCAGCCGTGGCAGATCACTGTTACAATTCAGTGGGCTCACATGACATTGACTTCTCCAAGACAGAGGTTCTCTGCAAGCCATCTGGCTACCATGAGAGATTCGTTCATGAGGCGATCCACATATACAAACACAGAGACAATTTCAACCGAGAAGATGGATTCTGGCTCAGCAATCATTGGAAGGACGTAATAAACCACTTCGGATCTTAACTGATTGTTGTTCACGTTTATGGTGACTTTCAGACCGCAGTCCACTCACTGGCATTAACTGTGTATCTTGTGTTCTCCACAGGGAATGCATTATTTGCTCCGCTGCGGGTCTCCTGCCACCGTTCTCCCATTCACATGTTTCATTGCTTCTACATATTATTAACATGCCCTCCCTTTGGTGCCGCTGATCCTGCATAATGCATGGGCATAATATGACTTTGAACCCCCCCCCCGCCCACCTCCTAGGCATTTTTCATGAATATGCGAAATTCCTCTTGATATGCCCATTCTTTTGTTAAGGCTCTCTTTTTCTTCCACCTCCAACTCAGCTTATATATAAGCTCCTAGCTTGGCAGTGTCTCATTCTTCACCTGAAGACGGCTGCTTGCGTTGTAGCCGAAACGTCGTGAGAATTATTTGATTTTATTATGCTTTATTTGTATTATTTTATTACTTCCCTTCTACGTGACTTTACCGAAAGAACCAAGAAGGTTCCACACTGTTAAATAAAAAAAATCGTTCCGTTATTTTTGTCCGTAAAACAATGTACAGTATGTACAGTAGTCAATGTACAGTAGTCATGTTTTTTGCCGTTTTTTGACCAGTTCCCCAATGCTGTGACATGTCAAGCAGGTACAGTACTTGCTATATGTTTTAATTGAGAGCTATACTCTATAACTAACGACGTGTGTGTCACTCACGTCTGTACCGGAGCCGGCGGCGCCGTCTTCGCCGTCTTCGCCGTCGCGAGTTTCGCGCCTTTTTTCGGGGTCCTCGGAGCGCCCCGCGGCTGAGGCGGCCACGGCGGCCGCCTGCGCCCTCTGCCTTCTCAAACTACTACCACTACTATCACTGCAACTCCACGACACGTTTATACACTACAAGCTACGTGTACACTCAAACTACGTGTGTACTTCTTCAAACTACGTGTGTACTTCTTCAAACTACGTGTACACTTTAAGCTACATACCGGACTACATCGTCGCGTACACGGCGCGCTGGTACTTCGATGCCTGAGTAAAATCTAATTGATGTATTGATGTATTAACAACTGATGTATTTACAATTTGTTATTCTCGCTGTCGTCACGCGATTCACAGATTTGTCGCTGTGGACCGGCGCGCCACTCGCGGCATTCAACAACAAAATACCGTAGACGGAAGTCGACGTTTCGGGGAATGACCCTTCGTGCTCGGCGCGATAAAAGTTTCAGTACGTTTGTCGTGACTTGTCAGGAAAATCACTGATGGGTCGCTAACGCCCCCATAAAAAAACTAAACAAATTTGTATATTGCTTAAAACGCTTAATTATTTGAAGATTTATGATTTGAACACCTTATATCACCGTATCGATAAGAACACTATGTACGTTTAACTTCTTTCAACCATACGGAGCCAACCGTGCGAATCGGAGTTTGGGGAGGGGGGTGAAGAACAACAAACTAACCACCAAAAACAGATAGCAACTGTTGACTAATGAAGACACTTATGAAATGCTTTAATCATTCAACTCAAACTCAGGGGAAAAAACCGGAACGAATACATTCAGAAACTTAAAGATGCAGAATACTAAGTGTGCCTATCTTATTTACAGTAACAATGGCGTTTGTCCAAGATTTTATGCGATTACCCGAAATTCATAAAACCAATATTCCCATGAGACTGACAAAATATACTTCTCCTGTCTACAAAAGTATCAAAATGATTGCTACTTATGGACAAACTACAAAGCAGGAACAAATATTCTGCATTAAATAACGTTGCATTTATGGAAAATTGTTAAGAGCCCAAATATTTAAAGCGTGTAGGCCGGATGTTACCAGACTGTCTACTAATTCTACAAATTTGTCGTGAGAAGTACACATTAACTTAAAGTGTTTCATGGAAACTTTTCTCAACACTAACGGCTAAGGACGTTCTTATTGTGCAATTATGAATTGAGTTCGCCACTTTAGCCTTCAACAGACTGCAATGGGTAATTTATTGAAGTCCAACCATGGTTGATCTTGTACTGGAAGAGCTTAAAAGTCATGATGAAATATAGATCGTTCTTTCGCCACTATTGTGTACCACGAAATTATGGCTTCAGGTAAAATATTAGATTTTAAGAAGTCATCCGAAAACGTCACTGGAAAAGAATACTAAGAAATCGACATTGCTTACAATTCACTTTAGTTATAAACCGTGCAAATAGCCAAGCAGCGCGAGTTATTCAATAATTTACCTGCTGGGTGTGGGCACGTGGTGCCCATCTACCCACATGGCCAATCAGCTTATTTTTGGGCAGAGGTGGTTAAACGGAAAATTAATAATAATAAAAAGTAAACCAAAATCTTTCCAAGAACATTTTAACAATGAAATGTTGTTGCAGCTTGTTTGGCTGGATAGAGGGGGCTAAAGGGGTGCAGCACGGGCAAGAGGAGATGGACTAATGGGGTACAAAAGGATGTGGAGCTGAGTGGACTTGCCAATGACTGATACCAGCGGTGTCAAGATCGGCTTGTGAAAAACAGATGAGAGGAGGGTTCAGTGTCGGATGAGAAGAGGATTTTCGGATGAGATGAGGCTTCTGCATCTTAATGAGACGAGTGTTTTTTGTCGGATGAGATAAAGGTTCTGTATTTTTACAAAGGAAGCACCTCTAAAACATAGATGATCTCTATACAAGCCCTGTAAAATGTTATTTCTAGGTCCCTTCGACCTCGCCAGGGGCACGTTATTCTATGACTGGATTATTGAAAGGGAGTCCACACGAGGCAATCTTCAGGTGAGGGCTTTTACTAAAACGTCTCTTAAACACATGCGCACTCGTAGGAAGCCATCTATCCAAGAGCCCAGAGCACACGTCAAACCCCTTTCAAACAGGGTGGCCCAAAAGTTAGGACACATTGGGTTATTTCTTATATTTTAACACGTGCATATTTTAAGTTAATATTTTATCTAGTCATTATTTATTTTTCTAAATTTTCAGGTGACATTAAAACTTGGTGATTGTTCTCTCTCGATTAAAGACGCACAAGTTGAATTCTCTAATGTATGCTACAGATGTTTTTTTGAAGTCCAAAATTCATTTCAAAACATAATTCATGCATGTGTAAGGACAGTACGGCTCCTCGTGGCCATGGTTACTAATCAACGCGACGGGCACTGACAGGATCGCGTAAGGACAGCACGGGACCTAAGTGGTCGTAAATAACAATTGAGAGGGACAGACAGGCCCAGATGAGGTGATTGTTCGGGACAAGGGGCGTGGCCGGGTCAAGGAGTGGATAAAAGCCGGTGTGGAACAGAGCTCTGGGCTGCTGTGGGGGAACCAAGAAACTGTCATCGCCGTCGTCGTCTTGGAGCGGGTCGTCTTCATCATCTTGGATCGGGCACCTTGTAGTCTTAGAAGGCGAGAGTTAATGTCTCCGTGACTACTACACGTCTGCTCCTGTGTAGCCAGCCAACTACATGGGGAGCGTCGCTTAGTCACAGAAGTTACCCAGCGGTAGTCAACCCCCCTTTCTCCTGCCCAGTTGTGTAATAGCTGCCTTTAGTTATGGTGTGCCGAAATGCCCTTACACCACCCTTAAATAATCCTAAATTATCATACCAATGCTCGTCCCCAGGAGGCAATAAAGCTGCAATAAAATACATTAAATATGAAATACGATAGTTTTAGCACCCCTTCTGGGTGGCGATTCTCGTTAATAGACTCCTTCCAAGCCGTGTGCATTTTACGCAAAGTGAGCAGTTTTCCGTCTTCATTCAACAGCCGTTTTTGCCATATGGTTGTCATTCTGCAATTAGTAAGTATCCAATACAGCATTGTCAACTGCACAATTGTTGCTTTTTAGCACCTTTATTCACGAGTAGATGAGACAGCCCATTACATGCAGACATTTGTGTAGCTTTATCAGCTTAATCCATACACTACTGACAAAATAAAGTATGTAGTAGACAGCACTGTTTCAACAAACTGACATTAATACTGCTTTGTAAAATGTAACAGGGATGTTTTGGGGAAATTGCCCTTTGAAAGAGGGTAAATTGGCTTACATTTCTGGACAACTTTGTGGTGACCAGAATGGAAAATGTTAAGTTGACTTGTTTCGCATATACTGTACGCTTTTCATGAATCGGGCGCAAACCAATGTCAATGTTACCCCATGCTCTGAAGGGCATGTTCCCAAATTGTCAACCTATTACATGTCCCAAGGTATTACCATGAAAAAGTATTCAGCTGCACGCCACTATGAACGGTGCACAATTGGTTTGTGTTCTACAATCCTGCTACTCAGAAAAATGCATTTTCTTGCTGTTATGAAAACCACGTGCACTTGCAAAGTCCATTCCCTCTGAAAAACGTACAATTTCAAAAATGTATATTTGCCTCGACTACGCAGTGCAATGAAGCAGGGCCGCACAGGGTACAACACAAAAGCATTTATTGCCTTTAATGTAAAGTGATACATACATTTTAACAATCTAAATGCAAGTAGTAAAATAGAGAAATCACTAAACGTGCCAGGCGGCCATTTAGCTATTGAGAAATCTTTACTGAATGTTTTTTGGTACAAAATTTTACATTTTAATTTACACAGGGAGCGGGTGTATTATATACAGACAATAGTTCAAGAATGAAAACGATTGCAGCCGTTACCATGCGCGTTTATCCCTTCAGCCAATAATGCTTACCGTCCACTGCCTTCACTGCAGGGAAACTAAGGCGATGTACAGAGCTCCACTACATTTAAACACCGAGCAGGATTACGATTCTCATGTCTTTATTAAGTATATAAATAAATATTTGCAATTTTCAATATCAAGTATTTAGAGGGCTAAGCCTGGAGAAATATTCACCACAAGCCAAGAAAATTGTTAATATGCACTTCATAACAAAGCACAATAATGAAATGTAAACATTTTTTTTTTTAAGTTTTATACTGTAGAGATTCCAACACCTGAGCTTCTTGTACCTCCACTTTATGCTGGTACTTCCAAGACTTTACATCTATGAAGTCTTTAGGAATGAAACTAAACTAAAATGAAATGCTAAAACGACATAAGACAGTTAAGGAAATCTTCAAGAGACTTACCAACTCCGAAGATTTTCAAATGCAGTTTTTTTTTCTTTTTTCATAAAACTGTTACGCGCTTGCTATAAAAAAAACCCACGTTGAATCACAGTAAAACCGCTGGGGTTCCTCAGCGGCTAAAAGCAGACATGAACGTTGCAACAAAACTGTACAATTTTACCCTTTTTCTTTAACAGCAAAAAAGCAAAACGTCGACCTGCTCATGTTGTTCAGTGTATTTACTTAGGGAGAGGTGGAGGGGGCGGGGGAGGGTCGGCTGGCAGTGGCGGAAGTGGTGGTTTACTTGGAAGTGAGGACTGCCCTCTGTGGATCAGTGGATGGAATCCACGGGCCATGTTTTGGCTGTAATAGTTGGGGCTGAAGTCTTGCGTAAAACCCGACTGGCTGGTGTTGGTGGGCGTGTTCACACCCTGTGCACAAAGCAGCGACTCCAGCATATCACGGGTGGCCTTGTAGCTGTCGCCCTGCATGTGGGGCATCGGCTCGTCCAAGTCCAAACATGAGTCCGAGTTGAGCCCATTTAATTCCTTCCCAGATCTTTTGGACAGCTGCCCATAAGAAATTGAGGTGGTGGGTGGTGGGGGAGGCATTGGAAGATGCAGCAGCGACTGCACTGCAAAGGAGTGCTGCTTGGCAAAGGAGCTGCTGCTTTTGGAGGTCTGCTTGCTCATCTTCTGCGGGTTTCCATGAGATGTGGCGTTACTCTCGCGTGGTCGTTTACGTGACGATCCAGAACTCGAGCTACCACTGCTGCTCGTAGTACCTGGTTTGGCTTCTGGTGATAATACAAAGCCACCTTTGGAACCATCAGAGCTATGTTTCCCATTACCACTGCTGTGTAAATGAGGGTACGAGTGCAAGTGTTTATGACTGTTTCCATGGTGGTGATGGTGGTGGGAGGCAGGATGGTGGTCTTTGTGCTTTTCTTTCAACATTGCCTGGCTCTGGTGTTTACCTTTGCTGATGCTGTCATCAGTGCCACTGTTATGTTCATGTGCCATTGGCATCTTGATTTTTACTTTAATCTCACGCCCATCTTTAGTATCATCCTGGTTTCCAGGTAGGCGCACTTTGATAGAACTTTTGTCCTGTTTTCCATGTTTGTCCACTTTCTCATTGCTCTGGTGGTGAGATTTGTGTTTATGTTTCTGCGACTGCTCACTGGGAGTACTCGTGCCACTACTCTGTTGCTGCTGGTGCATCTTTTCGCGTCTCTGAACCTCCAGAAGTATTTGAGCTTCAGAGGCATACTTTTCCTTGAGTTCAGCTTCCTGTCTTTCCAGCTTGCGCTTGTGCTCTGCCAGGACTACAGCATGCTTCTCCTGGTACTCCAGCAGACTAACCTTCTGATGAGGAACCTTATTTGCTGTGGCAGAAGGTACAGACCCTGTGGCAGTGCTAGGCTGGGGATCCCGGCTTGGCAATTTCTGGGATGAACGCTCTGTTTTTAAATACACTGGAACGTCAGAGTGCATAGCATTGTCAGAATGTTTGGCTTGCATTTCCACTTTGATGGGTACCGAGTCATGGGTCTTCTGTTGAAGGTCATGAGACTTCTGCAGTTGGTAGGACTTCAAAGGAGCCATGACCTGACCAGGCGGCGCAAAAGGAACCGACTGCACAGGAACCATCGGCACACTTATAGGCTGTGGCACGGAGGTGGATGCAGATTTCACTTCAGAAGGTGCGGCGAGGTCTGCAGCATCAAAGTGGAATGCAAGACTATCCAGGCTGTGGCAATGTGCATCGTTTGTTGGTTGCCCTTCCACTTTCAGTTTCTTAATTGCTTGATTCTGATATGCCTGCAAGAGAACACAGTCAAGTTATTTTACACACACAAAAGGTATGATTTTGGAGGCAGTTGGCCAGTATGAGGATTGGGAAATTGCAGAGGTACTGGGGAATCAAGGGTGTGAGTGAAGCTTCGCTTAGGTACAAGTAATTTGAGAAATGTTTCATGAGTTTAGCAAATGCAATATTCAAGAGTGTTGTTAGAGTCAAGATTAATTCATTAGGTGATGCGACAACTTATTTACATGTAAAGAAAATAATTAGGAATCCCATTCACTAATGGCTAATGGAGGAAGAGCCTTTCTAATGATGGCAAATGTCTGGCATATTGTAAAAAAATGAAGCATTTACTATATTAAATGTACATGTAAACAACATGAAACCATTGACTAAATATTTAAAATAACACTCAAAAGCATTACTCTAGCGTAATGAGTTGCCATAACCATGTGGAAGAGGTGGATACATCAAGACAGTAGTAATCAAATGATACATTACCTAAACTATTGTGATGTTTTTAGAAAATACAAATGCATCATCTCATAGTCAATGCATTTATATTAATCTACTGTAGACCGAGATGTCCACGGGCACTTGTTCGCCAAATACATCAGTCTACCATTTGGTGTTATTATATATGAGCACTAGTTATTTTTGGACATTTTATGATTTTAAAAACAATTACGATTGACGTAATTTTGCAAAGCATACTTAAATCTTGACTTAAAGCTTTCGTGACTCCAGGAATTCATATTCTTTGGGTCTTTCAGTAAAGTCACAAAGATAGGTTCAAAGAAAACAATGTGACTTTACCGAAAGACCCAAAGAAAACAAAGCAAACTTATCATTGACATAGCATTCTGGCCAGGTTTACTTTGCCCTTAAATAAAAATAATAATTTCAAACACCATTTTTCACATACTCAAATTCCAATTTACAGGTGTCCCCGCTTTGAGAGATTTTCCTGTACAAAAAGCAGCGGTTGGCATGGAATCGTGCAGTCCTGTACTTGCCTAAAAGCTGCATGGGAGAGTGGGCAGTGCAGTGCCATACTATAAACCATCCCATCCAATGGAAACCACCTCTTGTTTGCATTTGTGGGCTATCACTGTCGCTTATCGAAAAAGTTATCAACGCTTAAATTAAAACTCAATGTTTTTCAGTGACACGCATACGAAGTCGTTATTACACAGCAACAAAAAAATACTAGCCAGTTTATAATAGGTTTTCCCCTTTCTGGCAATAAAACAGGTGTTAAGATGTTAAAACACCAAACTGAAACCTTTTGCAAGGAATCATGTCTGTGATTGAGACTAGGCTCTAAAGAAAGCTGTCTCTTGTGTGGACCAATCAGTTTCAAAGACAATGCATATACTGTCAGATGTTTTTGGTTTGTATTTTCACCGCAAGTATATGTGGTTAAAGGTTTCAGCTTGGTGTTTTAACATCTTATCACCTGTTTTATTGCTCGAAAGGGGAAAACCTATTCTTATATTTTGATACTGGCAAAGGATATCCCATAATACTAGCCAGTTTGCAAAAAAAGAAGGCCTTTCAAATGATTGTTAATGTATAAATGGGAAATGGTAGGTGGGTACTGTTGTATCAGTGTGGTCTACTTTCAAGTTAAAGGAATGTTTTCATTCGTGGACCAATATTGACAAACGCAAATTTCCCTCGATTTATGCAGGTTCAGTTGTGTGAACTCGTGTATATGCAGCTAATCTATTTCTACCCAAAATTCACTCTATGCAGTTTGAATTCACTCATATGTGACTATGCGGTCGAACGTGGGACATACATTGTGTACTTAATGCACTACTCGACAAGGCAGCCGTCTAAGTGCGGTTTTGCTTTCTGCGCCATTTTTGGAAATACATCTACCGCATGCAGGGAAACCTGTACTACAAATGAATTTACCAAAAATTCACATTAACCCAAAGTAGTCCATCTTTATTTGATTATATATTTTGGCTCTGTATTGTTTATTGACTAAATGGAAACGTAAGCTGAAACTGTGGACTGCAACAATGAAATTTTTATTAACCCAAAAGGAAGAATTTATAACAACCTATTTTGAATAATCGGGTGTCTAATCACAAACATTTCACGAGTTAAATTAACCAAAAGCATAATACAAAATGACTTACCTTCCAGTTTCTTATCCTTTTTAGCCTATTTGGGGTTTTCTCAAGAATCTGAAGAAATTCATGTGTTAATGCTGAAAAAGCAAAAATACAGTTAAACATTAAACAAAACAACTCCAATATAATGCTTGAATGTCATTCTTTGGATGTCATTGCGAAGTGCAGTACAATGAAGAATGATGCATGTGAATTTAATGTTTACCCAAATAGAATTCTTTCAATTCCAATTCGTACAAAAATGTCGATTTAGAATCAGGCACATGTGGTGGATTCCTTACCATCCAGAAGGTTCATGCTGACACCATTATCAACATATTCCCACCATGGTTTTCCATCACTCGAGACCGGAATCTCCCAGTTGGACCACTTACAGGCCAAGTGGATACAAACGCAGGCTACCACTGTGGGCTTGTGCTGCAAGCAAAATGTGGTGAGGTGTAGGCTGCACAGCCGTAGACGCAGGATGGAGAGGACCCCGGAGACAGTTGGTCCAGAAGCCGGCAATTGGCAGGTTCAGGTTTGTTAAGTGGTCATTGCCATGGGGACAGAGAAAGGAGCCATGACTTTCACATCTACATCAGTTTTAACAGTGGCCAAAGGCAGTGCATATAAAAAAATGTATAATGTACATAATTTGAAAATTGAAACATTTCATATAATATAAAATATGCATGCACATTCACAAAATGCAATCAAATTTACGCATTTTAATTATGTATTAAATTAGTTGATAATGAAAGCAAACATTTTAAAAAGATAAATATTATCAAGATATAAGCAAAAAAGCAATAAAGAAAAAAATGGGATGCTCATACTTACCAGGGTAACTCTCACTCCTAGCTTAGACTAGCGCTCAGAACGATAGGCTACCAGTTTACACCGATATGCACGCAGTACTGGCAACCGTACAGACAGCAACACTACACTTCTCTAGTGCATACAACCCCCTGTGCCGATGGTGCCCTGGTACATTACACCGCACTACAATAGGGGGCCAACGCCATGGGGTATGGCGGGCCTAGCCCTAGAGCGAGACAGGGCAGTGGCAACGGTAGGGGGTTCTGCATTAGGGGAAGCTTTAGTGCGCCTTAACAGTGCAACGTATGGGTGTGGGTAACCACCTGTTGGTAGCCATGAAATACGAGGTCTGGGCCAGATCCTTACTCGCTGAAAATATAAAAGCAGAAAACGTATTATGACCAAATAACGGAGGCAAATATATATTTATCTTTAGTGTTTCAATGTAGATTTGGAAGATAATTACTTGTAACTTAGAATACGACATGCTTTGCGTATTAATGTTCTGCACATGAGTGTGGTTCTTACCCCGTACTAACTGTGTGCATTTCACAACGTAAGTATGAGGGTGATCTATTGTTATTTCAAAACCTGCAAAATGAAAGAGAGCACATATTAATTTCATAGTAGGTATATAATCTGAAGGCTCTATAAATCAAAACATACCTCTTCAATTTTTTTTATGCAAATGTATCTTTCAAACGAATGAGCCATTCCATGGTGATTCAGGAAAGACCACAGACCAAAGAAAGAATTATTATAGGCTCTGTCTTGAAACTGAAAACCAATGGAGAGGTTTACAGCCTTGAATCAGGGCCGTTTTGAGGTCAATGTTGTAACAAATTCTCAATTCCTGGGTAATTTAAGTGGAAACTTTGTTTTGAATAGAAAATATGAACAGTTCCAATGTCAGCTTCAACATACCCAATGTCTGAAGCATCACATGTTCATTCATCACCAAGTCTTGGGCTTGCTGAAGGTAAGCCTGACGAAACAGGAAAGAAATTCTCCTGCGTAAGTTTGTTTTACGATTGAATATTTACCCAGAATTTCACCTTGCACACAAAAGACGTCCGAGTGCATATTGGCTCAACAGTCACAGTACATTGAAAACATATTTCATTCCACGCGTGCATCCAACATATGTACAAATTAGCCAAATAGAGAATGGAAAGGTGCAAAACCTCTGGGTTGAGATAGAATACAGAAACATGTATCATTTAGTCTCACTTACATCACTCTTTGTATCCAGCGGAGCTTCCTGTGGGTTAAGGCACGCGTGTGCCACTTTAATAACATGTTCCAGCTTCCGTGGTTGCTCTTCTACTTTAGCAGCAAGGAACAAAGCAGCTGGAGAAATTGCCTTCAGGAAGAGATAGAATAACTTTTGAGTGGAATGCTTTTAACCTTAAGAAACACCAACAGAGCCTCCAGCGTGCAGTGTTACACATTCCACGTGTACAGCGCGTAATAATTGTAGACTGAAAATGTAAGCTGATGTCAGAATTTCTTCAAATTCGAAGTATACACGTAAAGCTTACATTTCTGTGGAACTTTGAGAAGGTCTGCAGCATATAAAACCTGTGCATATATACGATAGCTGTGTTTATCGTCAGCTGAGAACTGCGCCGAGTCCAAAAATGAATCAAATGAAACCAAGGGTCAAGGAAAGAACACGCACAAAACCACAACACACACAAGCGACAGAAATCAACACTTACATTTACGAGCAAATCCCCCAACGACCCCGAGCCGGTGGCAAAATGGACACTGGCGGTGGAGGAAGCGGTACCCTCTCGCCCCTCGGGTTCACACGACTGCAGGAACGCACGCGGCGTGGAGGTTACCCCCAAGGTTGCAATCATTCGCACACTCACGGGGAGAATGAATAAACGCGTAGAGGAGAAGGAAGGCTCGCAGAGAGGACGCGACGCGCCGAGCCGGCGTGGAGGGCGAGGACAACATGGCGGCGACAAAGGAGAGCCGCGCCCGGGCCTCGCCGCGCTCGGCATCAGCCTCCCCTCACAGATACCCCCCCCCCCCCCCCCTCACAAGTCGCGCCATTGCAACGAACCCTGCTCTCTACCGCAACTAAACACCGCCACAATAAGCACATTCATCCCCACCGAGCTCGAGGTTAACGCGAGTAACCAACGTTACGTAACAATGCCTCCCCTCCCGCGAAAGCCTGCGCGACAAGGCCGCACGGCCCGGTGACGCAGCCGCCCCCCGCCCCCCGCGCCCGTCCGGTAAGGATACACGTTGAGCCTCTGTCCCATGTCCTGGATGAGGTTGGCCGCCTGTTGGCGGTAGGATAACTCCTTGTCCACCTCGATGCCGCATCTGCGCGACGGCGTGGCCTCGAGCTGCTCCCTGCTGAAGAACCACTTGGCCGGGGGAGGAGGAGGCGGCGCCGCCGCCATCGCCGGAGCAGCGCGCGCGCGGGCAGAGACGGCGGAAACGCGCGACGTCACGTCCGGCGGAAGTGGTAGCGGCTGTGACGTCACGCGGGACTGGTTTGGGTGACGTCACGGGGGGGGGGGGGGCACGCCGACTCGGCACCGCCGCCAGTCCGCCCTGGAGGCGCTCGACGGGAATGTTGACGAATCGCGGATGAATGCGATTTTCATTTCATGTATTAGGTAAAGCCCTGTGAGCAATTCGGCTCTTGAATCGGGTGCAACCGCAACAAACAAAAACATGAACAAGAAACATCTTAAAGTTACTACGCGCAAAAGAAAAAATACAGGAAAAAACTGCAGTCTTCCAGAAAAAGCACCGTATATCAAACATCCCAGTGGGATACAAAATCAAACAATAACAACCATAAGACAATTTAGATTAAAGATATCCAAAATAAAGCTATAAAAACAATGTAACAGTGATCATAGGAACTGTGATGTGCGATGAGCCACAGATGCCCATTCGGGACACGGGGTCAGAACGTTAGAATCACGAACAACACACAAACGCGATAGGAGTGCAAAGTGTAGGAAAGGTAAACAAATTACTTTTAAAAAGATACAAATAAAACTAAACAATTTTTATCTTCCCAGGTCGGGCTCACTTTTGTACAAACAGGGTTGTTTTGTCCATATTCTTAGGTTTTTTCGGCAAAGTCACGTAAGTAAAACATTAAAATTTATAGAAGTAAAATAAAATAAAAATCACGACGTTTCGGAGGCAACACAAGCTTCCGTCTTCAGGTGGAACCGTCACAGCCACGACAGCTGTATCATTTACTTGATCATTTACTTGATACAGCTGTCGTGGCTGTGACGGTTCCACCTGAAGACGGAAGCTTGTGTTGCCTCCGAAACGTCGTGATTTTTATTTTATTTTACTTTTTATTAATTTTAATGTTTTACCTACGTGACTTTACCGAAAAAACCTAAGAATATGAATCCTTGCAGTCACGAAAGCTTCAAATCTAGAATTGTTTTGTCCATTCGTAACTGTTCTTTGACAATTATATTATTCGACATGTTTATTTTTATCTTGACTTAAAGCTTTCGTGACTGCAGGAATTCATATTCTTTGGGTCTTTCGGTAAAGTCACGTACATAGAAAAAATAAGAATAACAATAAAACATGCAATTAAAGTGAATAAAAAATAAAAATATCACGACGTTTCGATCGTAAAGTTGCTGAAGCAGGCTGTTTTAAAGGTTGAAACAGCTTGCATCAGCAGCTTCCTCCCTATGTTTTCTCCTGATTATGATTGCTTGTGTTGCGATCGAAACGTCGTGATATTTGTATTATTTTGTATTCACTTTACACGTTTTTATTTTTTCTATCTACGTGACTTTACCGAAAGACCCAAATAATGTTTATTTTGCTTTGTTGCACGCATGATCCCACGGGAGATCCGTGGTGCGTAAGTTCAGCGACAACAAACACGTCAATGTTGCAAGGAAACGCGTATTTTGCACAATGAATGACGTGTTTGACCGTCGTACAACAAAAACACGCTGTCAAAATGTGAAAGTTAAATATTAAAAAAGTAGTGGTGCATAAAAGCTCTACATGCTAATGAGATAAACACGTAATGGAAAATATTAAATCGCGGCTGTAGGAACTATATTGATTATAGTGCATATATTTTTATATTTAACAATATTTTCACCAAAGGTCAATTCCCACGCCAAGGTTATTTCACAATCGACTTCCAGCTGGGGAGGGAGGGGCAATGGGGCGGAGCAATGGGGAGGGAGGGCAATGGGGAGGGGCAATGAGGGGGAGGGGCAAATGGGGAGGGAGGGGCAATGGGGAGGGGCAATGGGGAGGGAGGGCAATGGGGAGGGGCAATGAGGGGGAGGGGCAAATGGGGAGGGAGGGGCAATGGGGAGGGGCAATGAGGGGGAGGGGCAATGGGGAGGGGCAATTGGGGGGGAGGGGCAAATGGGGAGGGGCAATGGGGAGGGGCAATGAGGGGGAGGGGCAATGGGGAGGGGCAATGAGGGGGAGGGGCAATGGAGAGGGGCAATGGGGCGGGGGCGCGTGACTCCAGTGACGTCACCGCTGATTTATTTCGCATGGCTGCCGATGTCGACGCGGAACAACAACCACAGTCTCACATTCGGGTGGTGAAGCCAGATAACCGCGCGGCGTCAGGAGTAGCGGAGTGTATCTCCGTGATGTCTCCTTCGTATTTGTGGATCGGGCATTGCGTCGGTTATATGTTGTACGGTCTGCTCTGGGATGACCACAGTGGCACACTGGGAGGGTTTTTAATCTTGCATATTGTGTGCATCAGGAATCCGCACCTGCTGCTGCCGTGCTTTGTGCGGTGGATGCGATTTAGGATGGGCCATGAGCAGCTTCGTGGAAGGTCAAACCCTGGGGTCTTGTGCGTTGCCTCTTTCACAACAACAGCATCGTGCCAAATGTTATTTTTTCCGGGGTGAGGACGAGGGCGGGGCTCTTACGTAACCGTTAGTGACGTCACTGACGTCCGCGATGTGATTGGCTCGCGGCTTTTTAAATGGGGGGGGCAGTCGGTGAGGGAGCGAGGGGGGGCAGTGTCATGGCGGCCGGCGCCTTTGTGCCGTTGGCGCATTCACGGGCGCGCGAATTTTTACCGCAAAAGAAAAACGAACACCTCACGAAACACCTTGGTCTGCACTAAAACTAAGTAAAGCGATCGCTCGTCGGAATTGCATCTCGCATTGTATCGCCGGTAAGTGATTGGTGGTGGTGGTTGTGGTGGCGGCGGCGCTGTTGTTTAACGTTCGCCTCGCCCACGGCGAGTGGGGGCGGGGCGGTGCCGTGACGTCACTTCCGTTGTTGTCGATCCGGCGGCCATGTTGGGTGGGGGCTGCAGGGAGGCTGTCAGTCGAGAGTGAAGGGGTTTGTGTGCGCGTGTGTGTGTGTGAGTGAGATCGCGTTGACACACAGCTGATTAGTCAGGGTTGTCACGTACGCAAAGACGCGGCAATTCGTTTCCACTTCGGCACACCGGAGTGTTGGCGAGTCAAACCCACAACGTTTACGTAGCGAGTTACCGTGACGTCTCGAGGGCGATCACAACCACAGCAGTCAGGCGATTCGTCGCGAGTGTGGCGGCAGTCGGCTGAGAGCTCTTGTGGGTTCAGCTCCCCGGTTGCTGAACGTTCATCCTGGGAATTGTTTCGACGTTTGCAATTTTAAAGTTGTGCATCCGTTTTAAAAACGTGTGAGTATGCGAATCGAACGTTCGCAAAGCGACCCGATTGTGCAAACCTCAACATTGAAGTGGTTTTCGTTGAGGTGCGATTCTTTAATTCTAAACGTTGCATTTATATTAATAGTTGCATGAGTGGTCGGATGGTGTTGTGGTTGAGAGCTCGTGATTCAATCGAGAAGTCGCCATTTTCAACGCTTGATTCGCAATGGTCCCCGTCATAGGAATGTGGAAATGCCACCACCGGTTGACCTAGCAATTTGAGACGAGGGACAATTTAATTTATGTAAGAACTCTGCGTATTTGCCTTGGAATGGAAAAAAAAATAGGTGACGTCTTGGTAAATGGCCCGTTGAACGAAAAATGTTAAGTTCTAACATAAAATACTACAACTAAATTGTCCCTCTGTTCTAACGAAGATGGGGCGGTGCTCGTTTAGGTTGTGCTTTAGAGAATGGCCATTGTTCGAAACGTCGCCGATTGTATCTTTAAATTGAAGGCAGTGGTATTGACGAATGTGACTTGTGTCATTGCATTAGGAGCGCTGTAAAAAGCAGAACTGAAAATTGACACATGTCTCGAAGAAGCACTAAACGTGCTTAGGGGTAGGATGTATGGCGAATGAGAGTTATTAGTTGGGATAGGGTTGGAATTATTGGCTACTCCGCTAGTCACCTCGTGTTTGGGTCAGTGAGAAGCGCGCCGTCGAGGCTGGATTGCTAATTGTTTCGGGTGAGGAGTCGGGGTAGAGACGAGGGAGAAGGTGAGAGTGCAACAGATCGCAAACAAGAAGACTTTAGCTGTTTTTCCCAGGATTTTTCTGTTGCGTGTAGTCACTTTAAGATGTTTCTTGTTCATGTTTTTGTTTTGTTGCGATTGCTCCCGAGTCAGGAGTCGCATTGTTCACAGGGTTATACCTAATAAATGAAACTTAAATAAATAAAACTGAAAACAAGAGTGGCTGTGGCATGGAAGAAGAGAGAACATCGACATCGGAAGAAAGGCGACGAAAGTGGAAGGAACGGTCCAGATGCAGTCCTTGAAAGAGGTGGTTCTAGCTGGTGAACGAGGATAATGAACAGGAATGAGTGGACTCGGGAGGATGATTCCACACGAGTGGCAAAAATCCAAGGGAAATAATTTTGTTCGACAGGAAGAGGGGATCAGAGGGCTCATAGTGTTTGGATGGTGCATTCCTGCAAACTGATTGCCGCCCGCACCTCTTCCCCATTGTAATGGATGCTCTGTTTTTTTACCGCTCGCCTTTCCCAGCGCAATGAATCGCATTCGCATCAACGTGCTGGCGACGTCGGGCCGCGGGCGCGCCGCGAGCCTGAACCGTGTGCCCGAGCCGCAGAGCTGCGCGCACACGAGCCGGCCGTGCAGCCTGGCTCGCCTCGACGGCTACGAATACTGCCTGAAGCACATCCTGGACGACCGCGCCGCGCCGTACCGCCAGTGCTGCTACGTGTCGGCACGCAACAGCAAGCGGTGCCCCAATGCCGCACCCCGCAACGAGCGCAAGGACAGGTGTGTGGTAGAGGGCCGTGGGTGGCAGTGGCGTGATATGTCGGCCGCAGTGGATGGCACGGCGATTGCGTGGTTGTGGCGCATGTGTGGTGGCTGGTGTATATTTCAGAATCATTTATACTGGAAAAATGCGGTGAGCTATAAAGCTCTCTTTCACAGATGTCCAGTAGAGGCAGGTCAGAGTGTGGTGCATGGATGTGGTGATTTTGGTGTTGGTTGTGAGGACTGGTGTGTGACAGCAATCGCAGGTTGGCAGTCGTGTGGGCGTAAGGTTGCGGTGGTGTGCTTGTCCACCCTTTTTCACCAGTGGGATCACCAAAGACTAGTCTCTTGTGTGGTGATCTAAAGCATTTGGTTAGATTTGAAGTTTTCGTGACTGTAGGAATCCATACTCTTTGGTTCTTTCGGTAAAGTCACATAGGTACAAAATAAATTAAATCACGACGTTTCGGGTGCAACACAAGTGCCCGTCATCAGGTGGAAACAACCACAGCAATAAACAATTGCTGAAGTGGGTAAAAAAAAAAGTCGGGATTTAATTTATTTTGTACCTACGTGACTACCGAAATAACCAAAAAGTATGAGTAAGGTTTTTTTGTTGATTATTAAAGTTAAAAGTTAAGAGATATAACCATCCATACAGCAATTCATGTGTGTTTTGAAAACGTGCAGTCGTGGGATTCATTTGTGTTTTTTATTCGACGGCTGAACGTTTCTACAGCTCCTCCCTCTGCGCCGAGCATGCACGGAAGGCCAGCAAAGCTGCACGACAGCAGATGAGGAAGCAAAGCAGTGGCATCACCACAGAGAGCATCCTGGCAGATCTGGGAAGCTACATGCTGGAGGACGGGCGGGCCAGAACCACAAAGCACAGCGACGCTTCCAGACTACTGGGTGAGGGCTCGCCACCTGGAAGCGGCGGTTACACCTGTCGGAGCGGGATGTTTTACGGAAGCGTGATTTTTGCCGATAAAATGAGCGACAATCGCGTCTCTGCCTACAGACGACAGCTGCAGCGAAAGTGAGGGGGAGCGGATGCAGGTGGACCATAATTGGCGCGGGGACCCGGACAGCGAGGCCGAGAGTGTGGACAGTGACCAGGAGGATCCACTCAAGTTAATATGATTTCCTGTTTGCAGACACTTCATGGATTTATTTACAATACAAGTTGTTTGCTTCCTTAAGTAAATATACAACTGGCACAGATAGCCTTTTCCTCTGTCCAGTCCTCTGAACTGATTGTACAGCACATTAGTGTGAAATGTGTGGACACATCTGTGTTTTCAGGCATGACATACTATAACATCTGTAAAGTTATGAATTTCCTTTTTATGATATCGTGTATAGTATATTAAAATTTGGTCTATATATTTGTACAACCAAAATGTATCGCCTTGCCAATTAGCCATAAAATGGGTGATGGAGTCACTGGAACATTCCCCAACACGTATCTGGCCCTTGATGATTTTTTATACCATTTGTTAGTGTGTTACAAAAAATGCCACACTGGGAAAAAAAAGGTTGCATGTCACTGTTGCAGGCACGCGGAGGTATACACAGCGGAGGAGGTGGCCCTGATCACACGAGAGAAGCTGATTCGTCTGCAGTCTCTGTACATCGACCAATTCAAGCGCATGCAGCATCTTCTGAAGGAGAAGCGCCGTAGATACCTGCATTGCCGACGCAGTGAGGATGATCCCACCAGTAAGCTGTTGCTCATTTGGACTTTGAAACTTGTAGAATAACGTGTTTTAAATTGTATTAAGCTAAAGCACGGTGTGCCTGTGTATGTGATGATGAGAACAGCAGGCATTGCGGTGGGAGTGGAGGGCATCCAAGAGCAGGAGGATCTCCGCCGTCTCAGGGCAATGAAGCGCTATCGTCGTCGATTTGGGGTGGAAGCCCTCCTGCACCGACAGCTGAAGGACCGCAGGACCATGCTCTCAGACCCACACACATTGCCGCAGGTCAGCCTTCCCCGTGTGGGTGTAATGTAGCCACGTGGACTGTGCATTTTTTTTCCAAGTGATTCCACGTAATCCAATATGTTTTTTGTTCTGATCCCAGCTGCCATCCCATCGTGGTGCACAACGCTGCATGGGAACTGTGGACGGAGTTCGCTGCAGCAACCGGATTCTGCCGCTTTCCAAGCACTGCGCAGCGCGTATCCTTTTCCAATTCATCGAGGAAAATCTTAGCGTGTGAATGCCGTTTCTTTTGTGAGCTGTTGGCCGTGTTGCTTTCCAGTTGCAATTGTTAGCACAATGGTCTCCGTGAATTTTGCATCCTGTCTGCCACACGTTTGCCCTGACATGAATGTGCCCAGACATCTGCCAAGACAGCGCTCAGCTTCTCTTCCGAATGTGCCCTGGAGTGGAGGGGGCGCCATGCAATCGGCCGGTGCCAGTCAGCCTGTCAGACAACCCCCACTGCCCGCTACACACGCCTCTACCCCCCTCTGTTTCGGAGCAGTCCTTGGAACTGAGCGAGGTGTGACGCTCTAGCCAGTGAACCTGCATCTGGGTGTTGTGTTTGAGCAGTGCCTGTTCTTTTTAGTTTTGCATGGTGATCCAAATCTTGTGATAATGGTACGTTAAAAGTGACCATATGCATTAATTAATCCATGAATATGATTCCCCTTGCAATATATGCATGGAACTGAGGACTTAAACATTGCATTATGCTAACTACTGCACCACATTTCGATTTAAAGCTTTCGTGACTGCAGGGATTCATCTTCTTGGTTCTTTCGGTAAAGTCACGTAGAAGGGAAATAATAAAATAATATAAATGAAACAATAAAATAATTCTCACGACGTTTCTGCCACAACGCAAGCAGCCGTCCTCAGGTGAAGACCAGGTCTGTCGGGGAGACGCTGTCTCCCCGACAGACCTGGTCTTCACCGCTTTCTCCCCGACAGGCCTGGTCTTCACCTGAAGACGGCTGCTTGCGTTGTGGCCGAAACGTCGTGATAATTATTTTATTGTTTTATTTTTATTATTTTATTATTTCTCTTCTACGTGACTTTACCGAAAGAACCAAGAAGATAATGCACCACAGCTGCACAATACGTTGAGTGAGGGTCTGATCTATGTTTAAGTTTAAACCAGTGAATCCCAACCTTTCTAAACTGGTTGACCACTGCCAACCCTCAAACTCCATGGACCACCGTATATCCATAACAAATTCTAAATTAAAACTCCATAAAGCATTATCAATATTAACTAAAACCATACAAACAATTGACATTGTTAATTGACTAAATAATTGTGCAATGGGCAGTGAAAATATAGTGTTTTGTGAATAATATCTGCAAGAGTCCTGTGAACCACCTGGAGCTCAGAACACAGGTTGGGAACCACTGGTCTAAGTGATGGTCAGTACTCCTGTATTACGATGTGTTCACACAACTCGTGTATTTCAGGACTGCTCCAAACACATTGATGTTGTCGGAGAGGATCCAGCACAGTCAAGTCAACTGCAAGGGGTATGTCGATTACAGCAATTTACAACAGCTGATCTCGACTTTGTTCATCTTGCATGTTTGGAGACATTACCGTATGTTGCTAAAGAATAAATAAATGTGCTTATATTTGATAGTATTGTACGTAACCTCCTACATTACCATGCAAGCTCCGCCGAGAGTTTGTCACGTTGGTGTGATTATTATAGCCATTTGGTTTTGGGTCTCCACGCAGGTGGAAGGTGGCAGCATGGAGTGGAGCGGTGAACAGAAGGACGGGGCGGGGAACACCGCCGTGTGCCCATCGCATGGCAAAGAGCCTCACGTCAGCCCCTCGCCCACAGTGAGCTCGCTTAATTGAGGGCCTTCTTGGGGCAGCGACGTGGCCTTGCGGTGGTGCGTTCATCGCTTGTTGCGGAGGTTCATGGTTCGATTCCAGCAGTATTGCGGGTGCATTCACCCTAACATGACATTTAATCTGCTTCACAGTGGATTCTAAAGATCATATGGTGTAATTCGCAAGAGTAGGCCATTTTGTGCGGCCATCACGGTCAACATTTGAAAACAAATTCCCTGCAATTTCTTATTTGGAATCTGTATAGAAATTATCATTCCCTACTGTGAAAATGTGGAAAAGACCCTTCTGAAAGTGTCATGAGACTCTGAAGCTTTTTCAGGAAAACAAGCACCTGACGTACCAGTCACTGCAATGATAACTTGCTACTTGAACTGTTTATAAAGTGTAACATTTGCTGCCAGAGCCAGGCGGTAGCGGGAAGCTGTTTTTTTTACAGTACATGTAACCAGCTACCACCACACTTAAAATGCATCTGTGGTGAGAGGTACAATAGTACGTGATACTCTGTACATGTGTGTAGAGCATGTCTTGTACTGACAAATAATAAATGCGATTTTGAAAATCTTTGGTTTCAAGTGGCATGTTTATTTTTTAAGCGCTTCTTACATTTTTAAAGGTTTTTTTACTAAAATTTTTATAGGGAACTGCATTTCCCTTGGCGTTTACATTTTTGAACGTAACATTTGCTTTCAACAATCGACGTTGGCTCATTATGCACTTAGCAAGAAAATCAACAATACATTTTCCTACGTGTTTTACAAATTAAGTGCTACAAATAGAACAAGAAGTTCTTCAATTAGTTGACACTGGGTTGCGTTGCCTTTGAAATATCACCTTTTTACCAGGCTAGGCGTGACTGGAGGCCCCTGCAGGAATGCTTTGCAGCCTGGGTACTGTGTGTTCAGCCAAAACGAGCACCGTCCACACCCAGGAATTCCAGGGCATTCGTAGACAAGAGCTTGTCCTAGAAAAAGACACGAAGGCCAGGATGACAACACGATGTCTGCTTGGTGGCAGCTCGCACGATAGTAGCAGGCATATGGAACATGACCCATACCTTGAGCTGTGGGGAAAACTCTTCCATGGTTTCAATCAACCTCCCTGGCTCCAGATCGCCTAATGGAAAAGGGTAGTCGGTTCCAAGCATCACGCGGTCCTGTGAAAGGCATGAATGTATTAAAGTTATTTTAGTGCAAATGTTATATCTCAAGCTAAGCCGGCTGGAGCCAGATTAGCGCTTGGATGGGTGACCACTAAGCGCACACCAGATTTCCATGTGTAGTGCAGAAAAATACATTGTGCGATTCCATGCTCCCCGTCTTCAACCCGCACTGACCAGCATGGTGAGGTATGGTCAAACAACCCCGACGTCTAGCAGTGTGGAGGGGCCTTTATGCAGTTGTGGATTCATTAAGGGCTGCTGTACATTACAATGTCGGGTGCTACAACTAATATTCCAGGTGAGGTCCCCTCCTCGCCAGCCTTGAGCACCTGCCCCAGGACGTCCACGAGGAGACGGAGCGCGTGGGGGTCGTGGACCAGTGAGTCCGTGTAGAAGCGGCCTGCGTAGCGGCGTGGCGGGTGTGGGTTGTCCACGGCACACAGGTCTGGCCGCACGTCAAAGCCATGCTGGATCCTGCCCAGCGTGAAGGGGAACGAGCCACCTGGTAGGAAAAACCCTGGGTGTGTCCTGGAGAAACTTGATAACTAAACATTTATAAATATATACACACTCAGGATGTGTTCCTATTGGGATAAATTCGAAAAATAAAAGGCCTAGTTATGTATATTCTTGGTTCTTTCAGTAAAGTCACGTAGATAGAAAAAAAAATTAAAAGCAAAAAAACCCACGACGTTTCGATGGCAACACAAGCGGTCTTCATCAGGTGGAGAGAAAAGGCTTTTATTTTTCTCCACCTGATGAAGAGCGCTTGTGTTAGGATCGAAACGTCGTGGGATTTTTGCTTTTAATTTTGCTTTTAGTTTTTTATATCTACGTGACTTTACCGAAAGAACCAAGAATATGAATTCCTGCAGTCACGAAAGTTTTAAGTCTCAGCCTAGTTATGTAATTTGGGATGGTTCAAAAGTTGTTTTTGTTTGGTATGAAATTACATCACTTCCATGCCTTTTGCACTAAAAATGTGTTTCATCTGGCTTTGGATGACGCCAAGTTTGTTAGCACACGGCCATGTTCAAATATTAGACTGCATATGATCTGAGAATTTGAATAAAGATCTTAATTTTAAATCCTATCCCTAAACTAAACTTTATTCTACAACTTATGGCATGTGTGTGTGTGTGTGACCAGATTTGTATAATTTCATGAACACCAGGCACACGTTTAGGGTGCATCTAACTTTCTAGAATGTAAAATCCAGGGAATATGGTAATCTATTAAGATGAGCCAAGCAATTCAACAATTCACTTTCTGACACTGCCATCCCCTGGTCACCTCAGCCCAGCAAGTCTGGGAGGTTACCACGTGTTTGTGTTACACAACCCCCCCCCCCCCCCCCCAAGTGCTTGGACAAAGATGCACGCCACCTCTACTGGTCGGATTTAAATGCGTGTTGGCACAGTGGTTATCGCACTGCGCTCCAAAACATGGCAACCCGAGTTCAATTACCAGCCATGGCTAAAATCAATGGCAAACATTTGAATGAGGACTGGGCTGCCTGTCGACTCGGTCTAAATTAATAGCTGGTCCAGTGTGTAAATATCAGCAGTGGGTAGCTGGGTGTTGTGTTAAAAATACCGCCCCCTCGTGCCATGTCAGCCTTTAACAGGTGCTCGCTAACGGCACTGGCCCTAGCAGTTTGAAAAAAGCTATATGTGGGATAATTGTCTTTGTATGTCGATAGTTTACATGCGGACCAATTTAACATGCACACATTCACCCACTCACCTCCATGTGCAAAGCAGACCTTAAGCCTGGGGAACCTCTCAAAGACTCCGCCAAATATCATGGAGCAAATGGCAGTCGTAGTCTCGGCTGGCATCCCTGGACCAACACACGTACACATATAGCCCGTTGTCAAGCTACTCACACAGACTCGCATAGCTCGGTGAATATCTCAAACGCTGCCGGTAAATGATTGAAGCTGACAGTGACGTTACCGTGTGGTCCATGGTTTGAGTTTGGGGGCCAATGTCACACTGGGTGTGATTCTTATTTTCCTATTTGGGCCTGCCGTAGGGTAGAATGCTTCCGTGGGGTGGCAGGAGGTGAAGGGCGTTGACTAACCCACGAGCCAGGGCAGCCAGTACTTGGCCATGCGTCCTGTGGTGTCCATGTCCCAGGGGTGGATGAACAGGGCACAGCCGAGCTCTTCCGCCTCCTGAATCCCGACGGCATAGTGGCGTGAATGAGCATCAAGAAGAGCGCACACAGCGACCTGCTCGGCAATCCACACTACACTCGTGTATGAACTGCAGACTTGCGTGGGGCCACAAGAGTGGGAGTTGACCAATGGAGTGAACACAGACAGTGCTCCAGATGGAGTGGGTGGATAATAAGTTTTGACCGTTACCCATGGGTCACCAATTCTCACCGTCTTCTCACATCTCACCACCATGTGGTCCTTTAAATTTGTTTGTAATATGTACACGATTTTAGATATTTAAAGTGATGAGGAATTTGCCAAATGTAATTTCTGCAAACTTCTACTGAAAGTTTAAACGTGGTAAATGTGGAGTGATGGGAAGTACGAAATCTGGTGTTTGAGCGTCTCTCATCTGCGGTCTCCGAGGGAAACTCGGTACGCTGTGGTGTGTGCACGTGCGACGCGAGACAACGCCAGGGAGCCGGCGTCTCACCGCGAACACGGCCCGTAGCTCGGGGTCGTCCAGGTTGCAGGCGTTGACGTGCGAGCCGATCTGCACCCCCGGGAAGCCGAGCTCCAGAGTGCAGCGGCGCAGCTCCTGCACAGCCAGCGCGGCCGACTGCACCGCACAGACACCACGGAATCTCACGCCACACCATCACGCGGCACCGCACGGCACCGCACAGCAAGACAGCATACAATAGCACACCATACAGCACAACACAATCCAGCACAGTGCACAGCACCACAGCATACAGTGCTGCACCATACAGCACAACACATAAGCATGCAGCACACCATAGGGCACCGTACCATACAGCACACTGCACCACACCACAACATATAGCACCTGACTACAGCACAGAACCCTAACAAGCGATACAGCAACAAACCCACCCAGCACTACGCTATTCAACACCACTCGGCAGCATACCACCCTACAACGTACGACACCACGCAGCGCAATATCCTAGCAACGCACCAAGCAAGGCATGCAGCAAAACACCCCAGTAATACCACCTCATAGGGGACCCATAACCACCCCACACCACTGAGCGCGGTGCTCCACAGCTGAGCGGAGTGAGTGAGCGAGCGAGCGAGCGGTTCAAGCGAACCTGCATAGGCAGAGTGCCGAGCCCGACGAAGCGGCGCGGGAAGCGGCCCACCACGCCCGCCAGGTCGTCGTTGAGGAGCCGGCACAGGTCGTGTGCGTCCTGCGGCCGGGCCTGCCGGGGGAAGAACCAACCCCTTTAGGGGGCACGTGGGGGGCGATCCGAACCCACTCACTCGCCGCGAGGTGGAAAGGGAGTCAGCGACGAGGCATCGTGTCTTTTAAATATTGTCGCCTCCTCTACTATAGATATTGGGGTCAAACTAATCGCTCCCCATCAGACAAAACTCGTACCAAGCACACGTGGGGATGACCCAAATCTTAACACCGCCAGGTGCAAGGTGTCCGAAGTGAGTCCTGCTGTTGACATGCCACTCCTTCCACTGTGCAGATTCTCGAAGTTGTGCTGCTGTGTAGCAGCCCTCCGATGTGTTGTTGGGCTGTGCTGCGAATTGTTAGGCAACAATGTGCGACGTTTTGCTCCACATGCCGGGAGAACTTCATTAAATGAACACAAGCTCATCGTGCTGAACACGCAGTATCACCCAACCAGTATCAGACAACGGCCCACGGCAACGGCTATCACATAACTACCTCTTGAGAACAATTCCAGAGACCACTGCTGCACACAGTCGAGGGCAACGCTTTCCCACCCGCTCTGCGACTGAGCGCGATGAGTTGTGAGTTGTGTTCGTGGCCGTGCTGTTGCTCGACGTCACTGTTCGCTCACTCACCCAGTAGTTGAACATGACAGGCACGGTGGAGAGCGCCTGCACCGTCACCCCTGCCCACGACGCACACGCCACCGCACACGCGCACACGCCACGCACATCGCGAGTTGTTATGTATTGAAATCTTCTGGTGCCATTCTCAGACAAAACGTGATGCACTGAGCAATGCGCTGAGTTCACAATGGAAATGCATTGATCTCATGACGTGGCAATGCTGACAGAACGATCGGAATGCAATTGGTGGAACAGAGCAATGCATTCATGTAAAACGTTGTGACACCTAACTGGTGATAACCTCTGTGCACAATTAATTTGCGACACGCAAGCTTTGATGATGTCGCCGGGTGTGGCATCACGCGTCGCACCCTGCTGGTCCATCTCCCGGATACG